GCTGTATATGTCAGTGGTGCGTATGTGCCAAAAAAGTAATATTTGAATGATCCACTTCACAAGAAATGCAATTAAATTGTTTACATACACTTCTGTTGCAGATACACATCTAATAGAGCAAATAAATTAGTATTATCTATTCTACACAATTACTTACACATTGACAATTATTGCATTATTTCACAGGTAAACAATGCTGCCATATATGGGTCTGGCAATATACAGAGTACGTCACTTGAAACATACGATAACATGATGAAAGTCAATGTAAGGTGAGGTATATGACATCATTCAATATGTAAATTAACAAATCCACTCACAAATATTGTTCACAGACTCAGGTTTATTTTTCAGATTTGATGTTAAGTTATTTTTTTTATTTCAGATCGATATTTCATCTTACATCACTGATTGTACCGTATCTTATAAAATCACATGGAAACATTGTGAATGTATCCAGTCTAACCGGACTTAGAGCGGTAAGATGTGGTCTACATTGATATTATCATTTTTTGTAAATTAAACAGTGTAGAAAAAGTATTCTGACACCTTTCACATGTATAACATACACAATAGTCACAAGAGATGTAAATATCAGTATTTGAACTTTGACCGATATGTCATATGAGTTTGTTCAATTACACATAACATGGTTATTGTTCCCATTTCATTAGAAAAACTCATAGATTTGAAGATTATACACATCATTTCAAATATTATTTTGAGATTAGTAAACATTAATTCAAAGCACATATTTTTCATAGTTCATTATATTATTATACAAATAGTCAGTTTACGATGAATGTTAACTAAGTTTGTTTATCATCATTACAAAGTTTATTCAGAATATATATATAAATTTATTATAGTTTCCATTTGCATTGGCATACTGTATGTCTAAGGCGGCTCTCGATCATTTCACCAGGTGTATAGCACTGGGTAAGTTAGATTAGATTACCAACATTACATAACGTAACAATATAATACTAACAGTGTAATGGGGTTTCAAAGTGTTTTTGTACTGTTGTGTGATCATCTTTTATTTTATTTTACCATAAACTAAAAGACAGTGCAATGCATTACATAATACAACAATACAGTATAATACAATATATAACAATACATACATACATAAAAATGCAATAAATTGCAATGCATTACATAAGCATAAAATGCAGCATATTACATTAGATAGCAATGCAATACAGTGTAATACATTACATACCAATACAATACATAATAATATATTAGTGTACGTTACAAAACAATTTTATGCAGTGTATTACAATACCTAAATAATGCAATACAGTGTAGTACATTACATAAGAATACAATAGTGGAATACATAACATAAAAACACAGTATACTATGACATAACAATAAATTCAGTGTAATACTTTGCATAACAATATAATACAGTATAATACATTACAAAACATAACAATGCAGTGCAATACATTACATACCAATAAAATGCAGTAATACATTATATAACAATACATGCATAAAAATGCAATAAAGTGCAATGTATTACACAAGAATAAAATGCAGTATATTACATTAGATAGCAATGCAATACAGTGTAATACATTACATACCAATACAATACATAATAATATATTAGTGTACGTTACAAAACAATTTTATGCAGTGTATTACAATACCTAAATAATGCAATACAGTGTAGTACATTACATAAGAATACAATAGTGGAATACATAACATAAAAACACAGTATACTATGACATAACAATAAATTCAGTGTAATACTTTGCATAACAATATAATACAGTATAATACATTACAAACATAACAATGCAGTGCATACATTACATACCATAAAATGCAGTATACATTATAATACAATACATGCATAAAAATGCAATAAA